ATAATGTACAGCCAATATTAAAGTTGACAAAAATTAAATGATGTTTTGAGTCTTTCACGTGGATTTTAGACAGGATACTTCGGTTTTCCTATCTTATCCTTTTGTCTGATATAATTCCAAGGGCCTTATTTCAATTTTTCTTTCTCAAACTATGTATCTACAGGTGACTGCATTCTGTCTCACCAGCGTCGTTCAGTACTGCCCATGAGCAGTACCTTCTGTTTCCCTTTTTTCTTTGCTTGTTACTTAGCGCTTCTAAGACATTGATCATCATGCACAATTTGAATACTGCTTATCCTGTTTTGCAAAATCATAAAAATTACCAGCATTAAAAGTTTGTGAGTAGATAACCTCAAGCAAGAAGGTAAAGAGAATTCCCCAAATCGCCAAGATCAGCTGGAGCTGGAGCCTGTACTACCACCTTTAGGCTGTACTACCACCCATCGGCTTAAAGTAGAATCAACAGAAGCAGCCGAGTGGACAAAGCCTCTACTCTGCGGCTGCAGCGCAGCCTGCCACAGGTGCCTCGCTCCTGCAAGGCTGTGCATCCCAGCAGTCGAAGACCCCTCATTCCTGGCGGATTTAGCTGCAGTGGCCAGAGGGATTACCAGCCCCCATTACGGTCCTCTGACCATAGCTGAATCTGACAGGGATTTTGGCTTTTCGAGGCAGGGCTTCTGTCTGCATATGGGATTTTCTTGGTAGCTGGTCCAAGGCTAGAATTTTTTTTCTACAAAAACTGAGGGAGTTTAAAAGTGCCATCACTGAAAAATCTTTTCCTTTTTTTTTTTTTTTCCCTAAGGGAACCTTAAAATATTTACCATTTTCAAATGTAAAGTTCTCTTCATAGATGTAGATTCAAGCTATCTTGCTCTTCTTTCTCATTCTGGAAGGTGTTTCACTCAGGATCACTCTCTACAGCTTAGTATTTGGAAACAGTTCCTGCGCAGGACAGAATCCAAATTAAGCTTGCTACTGATTTCTTAGTATTGCAGGTAAAACTACTTAACCTTGAAGGTTATTGTCAGCAGAAGTAATGAACTGCTGTGGGTTTTGATAATGTCAGTGTAATCCAGTGCATCTTTAAATCTTTAAACAGTTTATTACTTTATTTGGTCAGATAAATCATCAAATCTGTTTCTTTTCATGTCAGTAACGTGCATCCTTCTATAATTTCTTCAGGCTTTATAGCACCTGCAGTAGCATTGCTCAAGAGTGGAACAAAATGTGTAGGTCCAAAAATGATTAAATACAAATATCAATCTTTATGTCGCTACTTCAGGCATAGTTTATCATATAACTAAATATTTAGGTAAGACAGATCACATTGATTTTTGTCCAGGAGCTATGAAAAACGTGGACCTCTAACATTTAGTCCATCCTGCCTATCTTGTGAATGGAGCTTTTGTTATATAGAATCATAGAATCATAAGATAATAAAAACCGTCAACCCAACACCACCCACTCCGCCTGTTCCAATGTTTCACCACTCTTTCAGGACAGACATTCAGACATTCGTCCAATCTAAACCTCCCCTGGCGCAACTTGAGGCCATTTCC